GCCTGTTCACAAAGTGGAGGAGTTGGAGCAAGAGGGGACTCAGTTCCACTAGGTATCTCCTTAGTTGGCCTTGTAGGAGGAGGTGGTGGAGGTGGAGGTGCAGGTGGTGCAGGTCTGGGGACGGAATTATCCTTCAAAGGTGGGGTCAAAGGAGGTGGAGGTATAACTCCAGAAGCCGAGTGCTTCTCCAAATGAGGTGATGGAGGTATTATAGATGGAGGCGTACCTCTAACAGATGAAGGTTCATTAGGAGGTTCAAAAGGAGGTCGAGGCACAGGCGGAGGAGGAGGTGAAGGTCTCTTACCCGAACTTTCTGACAAGCGTGTGTCAAATGTAGCAGGAGGCGAAGGCTGAACTTCAGAATCTAAGTTCTTGTTCAAATGAGAGGCTGGCAGAACGACAGGTCCAACCGGAATAGGAGCAGATGAATCACTTGAAATTTCCTGAATCCGAGTTGCATAAGGTGGGGTAGGAGGCGGGGGAGGATAAGGCACAGTTTTACGAGTGATGTCTGTTTCGAGAGAGGAAATGTGAGGGGGTGATTGGCGCCCAGGACCTTCAATAACATTTAGAACCGGTGACTGAGTAGTATGTGGAGATAGTGGTGGAGGGGGAGGAGGCGGTGGGGAAGTGGCAACTTTGGTGCCTCCAACAGCATCTTCAGTTGAATGAGGGGAGTCGAGTTGAGATAGCCTAACCCTCACGAATTTGTTATGGGATATTCTAGGAGAGCCACTTGCAGAGTCTTCTTTCAGAGGGGTAGTTGAAACACTGGGAACCTCTGGAGCTAGAAGCGGCTGAGCAGAAACTCCAGTCTGAGCACTGACTCTATCTCCCAAAGGGGGAGCAAGAGAGGTTGCCTCCAGTGTAGATGGATGTTGTCTGTTGCCAACATCAGCAATTTTTGCTGGAGGAAGTGCGGGAGTTGAGGGAGAAATTCTAGAATGTGATGTGTCAGCTTTACTTTGTTGAGCAATGGAGTTGGACTGTGAAATTGAAAGTTGATGAGGTAGCAAAGATGATGGGAGTGAAGAAAGATCTACAGGAGGAATAAGGCTTGGCTTTGGAGATGGGATAGTCACATTTTGGGAGTGGGGATCATCCTGCTTTCTGTCCATATCTGTACTCCCAGACATTTCCGGCAAGAAATTAGAACGGTTCTCTAAAGGCAAACCTGGTGTGCTCTTAGCAACAGTTGTAACACCTAGTGCAGCAAGGCTCTGGTTCACCTGATATGTTTCAGTTTGAGAATAAGCTTCAACAGATATCTGTTGGAGAACTTCAACAGTGGCATCGCCCTTTGGGACTAACCAATCCACACTATTAAAAAATTCTTGAACTTTAGCAAATGCCTCAACAGGGAGGCCATCTTTCTCTTCGAAGCAGGAAGAGTCCACAGGGGTAACAGAGGAAACAGAATCCATCTCCGAGAAAAGAACCTTCATTCACACAAAAGTTTTTATTTAGTATAGTTGAGCCAACTATGAACTGAGAAAACAACAGTATGCAACATATCAAGGATGTCAGAGAACCATACCTCTGCCCTGAATTCCTTGGGAAATAGATCCTTCGCATCCCATGATATGTCAATTTCATCTCGATTGAGCATCAAAATATTTGACCTGATAAAAGCTGTGTTAAACATGGCGCGGAACATCATGACTTCCCGATCTTTGTCGCCAAGCAAGCAGATACATTCCAGTACAACATCACCTTGAATGTGGCAATCAATATCAATCTTTACCAATTCACATTCTGCCTGAAAATAAACAAAATAAATGTGGGGCCGAAGGAAGTTAATACCAACAGCATTAATATAAATTATGTACAAACAGAATCTAACACCGAATTAATAAAATAAGACCCATAGAACTTATGTGTGCACTAGTTGTGGAGCAGGAGGAGAGAAAGAATGGAGTCGCGCAGGAGAGGGGGTGGGGTGAGCGCCCGCCCACCAATATGTTTTAGAAGAAAACATGAAAATATTCTATTGCAACATGTTGCTTCTCTAGAAAAGGAACTCCAATTTTAGAGGAAATCAAAATATGGGTACTGCCTCAATATAACTCCAATTTCCCAACTCCTGTATGCTCCTACCCATCACGCTCTGTTTCCCTGTTTCCTATACATGATCCCCAAGCTTTTACTAGACCTCAAAACCAATATACTGCACAACCGTTTGGACAAGAACAAAAAAGGTACATTGATTGTTCAAAAATTAAAGAGTAATGAGTTATTCATTACTTGTGATTAAATTTTGAATTATGAGTCTAGAGTTGGTAATAGCGAATAAAGAGTTATATCGACTATACCATAAATAAATTGAACGTCAAATAGACATTTAAAGATTAAACCTTAAGCTTATTTGATCCTCATAGCTAAAGAAACTATTTTGATATTTTACTTTTTCACCACCATGAAGATCGATAATTCTTTTCTACATTGAAAAGTTTCTTCTGCATCTATTGTTGTTCAAATAGTAGGGACTCAATTAGTTTATCATGCAGAAAACATAGCAGCGGTTTAGCTATCATTTCTGACTATACTAAGGGATAATATCGATCCCAAACTATTAGCATCAGAAAAGGCCTTTGGGGAACCAGATACATTTAGACAACTTGATCTCTTTTCACAAATAGAATTGTGAAAAGACCAAATAGTTCTGAGCTTTCTTAAGAGCATATAGTAGATAATATCACATCCAGAACTTTTTGAAGCTGATTAGACAGGAAAATGTGTATTTCCCGACCAGATATAACCCATGCTAACATACTAAAATGCATAGGCTCTGCAGTTGGAAATAGAAAAATTTTAGGTCTTGTCTTGCCGGATATTTTTTTAAATTGAACTCAAAATCCAATCTTCATCTAACCCAACTTAACTCTCCGCAATATTATCAACATAAAGAAATAATAAAAACCAGTCATTACACACAATAACAAAATTTACTATTCATCCACTATTCACTATTCATCTATTATTCATCCACAGACATATTTTTACTACAAATCATTAACAATCATTATTTTACTATTTTTATATCATATCAATCATTACATTTTAACTCATATACACTCACAAACTCAAAAGCAAATCTGAATCTCCACCCAATCAGTTTTTTTCAATTTTATCTCACTTTATCCAATAAATCAAATCCAATCCAAAAAAAAAAAAATTAATTCGACACTATTCTGATCTGGATTCTCTAGAATGCAAAGAGTTTCTTACAGGTTTTTAAAGTTGTGGCTTGCTATCTTAATAAGCTTCCAACTAACCATGCATGTATAACTGCACCAGGAAGCAGCCATCAACAGGTTCCTTTTGAATATCAACCGGTTGAACCACCATAAGCAACGCATAAATAATTTTACATTGCACTATACATCAATCAGTCAGAATGTAAGTTTGTTAAAATAATCATTGTCAACTAGTGCTGAGCCAACAACAAATCCACCTCTGCTCACCAATAAAAGTATTTTCACTTAGATGGAATTCTCTTCCAGTCTTCCTTACTACATTTGACAACCAGACAACAAGTCTTGAATGTTAACTGAAATACCAACAACTGATCAACCTCCTGTAATCAGTGAAAATACATATGTTTTCTCAAGCAACAAATATATGGACTTGTTATAGATCATAAACAACTCACCTGCTTGTAATGTCGAACAGTTCTACTCTTCTTTGGAGTTGAAAATAGAACCTTAGGTGTACGGTCAGACACTTGGCGAGGATCTTGCCCATAGATACGAAAAATTGGCCTGCATCCACCTTCTCCATCGAAGTTTGGGATTGTTCTAATAATGACACAATCCATTGTGAGATCCCTGTCTAATGGGGGCCACTCTGTGGCGACATTCCTTCTCGATACATACTGCAAGTATCTTAATTGTGATGGCATGGGATTCACGGGGTACAGTAAGTGCAAAAGCTCACGAGGAGCTTGCCTGTACACCATGTCCAAGGTCTTAAGCTCCCCACTGTAATGCTTTCGATAGATCAACAATGCAGCCAACATGAAAGCCAAAACTGCCCAACCACCATGTTCACAATGCATGAGAAGAAGATTTTGTAGTCCAAGCGAAAGCCAGCTTTCACTAGATCTTAGAAAATGGTGGATCACCTCCATTGGCAGCAATGGGCAGCCTTCATACTGCCGAGGGTACTCCATTATTGTCATATCATAATCTGACAATGCATTCGCAATCTGGCTCTGAACCTCTCCCTCACGAAAATTGAATGCTAGGATTGAAGCATCGGGATAATGCTCCTTGAGCTGGGTGATAATGCCTCCCACATAGCCTTTGTAATCTTGGTCCGCCACGGTGTCAGTAGTGAAACAACTATCAAATACTGTAAAATTAGAGCAAACACCATATGTTATCATTAGGCAGTTATATTTTCGAAATATTTCAAAATTACTGACATTTTATGGCCAAATCGTATGACATAACTCAAAAATGAAGAGCAATTTCAGCAGCCGTTTCAAAGTTATGCAAAACACACTTCTACGAGAAATGAGATACCATTTTGTATTTCTCAATAAACACAGACTTGTTAACACTCCTATACGATTAATTTCTGCAGCTAACCAAATCTTAATGGTACTTCTGACAATATCCCAACCTTCACTCCTGTAACTTGAAGTTGTAAATCACATTTAGGCTTTGAACACACCATGAAACTGACACTTAGAACTTACTATACTTTGGTTAGCATTTACATAAATCATATATAAATAGCAAAGTGTCTAATATAAGTTCTCTAGTCCCTTGTTTTGTTCTTTATGCTAATGTGTCAAATAGCATAACACGGGGACATTATCTCGTAGTTACTAGCATTAGTAGCTGAAACTGAGTTTTCAGACAGCATCATTTTCAAATTCACTACTTCTCAATTACAAACCAAAGATATGCACTTGTTTATCTACTTGGTAAGCAGCACCATAGCTAAGCAAATATACACACACAAAAAAGTGCAAACGGTTATAGCAACAAAGAACAACTTAACCTCCACTCTTTGTACATTAATAACCTTCTCCCAACTTATGGCATTTCATATTTATACAACTGACTACTCTAAGAAACTGTATTATAGGTTTTATCAGCCGACTCCTAAATCCGTCACTTTATTCACCCGCCTCGCCTCCCTACCGTCTAAATATTTCGACAGTAATAAATGAAAGTTTGAGCTAAATTTTGAGAGGCAAAACCTCAAACACAACAAAATTTTCACCATCTTCTCAACACAAGAATTTATTCTCCCACAGCACAATTATCAAGTCAGAGCTGAAAATATAGACATTTCTAAAAACACGCAGCTTCTCCCAAAATACACCGTATTCACTCGATTGTACAAAAGGGGACAATCCTCAATCACCCAAAAACAACATCCAGACAAACTAGTTTCACTGTCCAAACAAAAGCAAACCGGATAACAACATCTTCATCAAAATAAATACGAAAAATTAAAAACTTAATTAACGAGCGCACCGTAAACTCGCTCGCAGATCTCGAGGAGCCCGTCCGGCGGCTTGCGGTAGAACAGCTTCCGAAACAACGCCATTGCAGGAGCACACTAGAGAATCTCTGGTGTACACGCGCATGAAATCAAATCGCAAAACAGTGGAAAATCGGTTTGAAAATTCAGCAAAAAATACCATAGAAAATTTTCAGGGGTTTTTAATGTTGAAGACGAAGATGGGCAGCTGAAGAAATCGATCAAACTACCAACTCCACCGAGGAGCCACGTATGCGCGCGGGGAAACGATGACGTGTCGTCACAGACACGAGAGGTGGCAATCCGGTGCTTTGGTGTACCGTGCACCTGGTTTATCCTGAGGCTTTGATTGGTCAATGGGTTATGACTGACACGAGATTGGAAGGTACGAGGTAGGGCCCAGCTAGAAATTACTATTACCTCTGTATTAGGTCTGGTACCGGTCCGATTCTTAACATATTTTTTCAAGAACTGGAATCGGAACTGAAATTAAATATCTGCAGTAACCGAAAAAGAACCGAACCGAGTTATAACGGTTCGATTTTTTCAGTTATTCGGGTAACCGAATAATGAAAAATAAATGACAATAACCAGTTTTAAATTAAGAATCGATCAAAATATTGCAACTCATGCACGAAAAGTATCATAAAAACCGAGAACCGAATTGCAAAAATAAAAAACCGAGTATTACATACCAAGAACCGGAACCGAATCATATATATAAACATATAAAACATGCATATTTCATATATATATCCGGTTACTCGGTTAACAGTAATGCTAAGGAGCCAACCGTTGGCTTCGTTATAGAGCCAAGCTGTCCCACATTAAAGGATTGTGGGACAGCCCCACATGGAGTTTTCTCATTGGTTGTTGGCTCTTTATCATTATTGACTCGGTTAATACACATACATTTGGAAAAGAACCGAAAACCGAAATCGATTTTTACAAAAATTAACCGGAACCGAATTTTTTTTTTTTTTTTTTT